CTAATATTTTTTTCTCTCCCTCTTTCTTCTTAAAAAGAAAGTCTTTTTCCTCCTGTTGCAGAAGAATTTTTCACCCAGGGAATAGGACAACTGTGGTYATTTACTTCTTCATCCCCAAGGGAGGTTCAAATGCAAGTCTACCCTGGGGCTGGAGAGCTCTCCTGATAAGGTGGTAAAGCACCACTTCCAGAATGCTAAATATAAAGACCTCGCACCTGCCCTTCGGGAGTATACATGGTGTCATCAGTGGGTTGCTCAGCCAAGGTGCTCTCGGGCCTCTCCASTATTGCTTCACTTTGTGGGTCTTGGAGTAGAGAAGGAGGAAGTCAGCTGCTCAAAACACAGCAGAGCTGAAGRCATTAAAAAAAGAAAAATCCAGTTCAAACAGTGACCTAGGCAAGCATTTTTAAGGACAAACATGGACACCTGGTATGTCAGTGTACCTTCAGGACCAGTTTGCTGCTGGGCATGTGCTCTTTGCATTGCCCTTTTGGAACTTCAGCTTCTGAAGCAAGAGTGGGCTTGGCTTTGTAGCACAAATCCAATTTTTGGCTATGTTTCTGTGCCTGGTTTATTTCAGTCATCAATACTGCTTGAATGAGAGTCCTGTATTGACTACTTATAGCTCTAAACAAGGAAAATAAATACTGTCTCTTCAGATGAGGTGCCAATGTCTCTGTAATTCCCGCAGTTGTTGTGCTATGATTGGAATTTGGTGCCAGATGCATGGATTCCTCAGACAAACAGCTTTCTGGCAGGAGAGAGGAAGATCTGGCTCTGGCAAGTCTGTTTATATAAGAAGTTGCCAYGTTACTGGCTCTCGTTACCTGCATTGGCTTGATTGGATGAAGCAGAGAAGCCAGACACCAACTATTGGATAAAACAGAGCTGGCAAACCCCTTCACACCCACACATTGTTAATCCCATCAGAACCATTAAGTGATGCTACTAGTAACTAGTAGCTATAGACACACAGTCTTAATTAGACACCTCAGTGTGAGAGGAAAGGTGATTTTATACTGATTTTCTTTTTCTCTGTGTGCAGCTACTCATTTMTCCCAAATGGTACCCTTTGCACTTCTGATAAGGCGCAGAAAGAGGTGGGGTGGTGTGTGTGTGTTGTCCTCACTGGACAGGATTGGCCAAAGAAAGTCAGATTGTGGGGCAGAGTTTATGTAAACAGCGCWAGAAGRAGAAAGGTTGGCTTCAGAGCTTGGATTCCAGAAATCACTGATGAGAGAACAGAAGAGTTTTCAAGAATAAGGAAGGGTTAGCAAACAGCATACATGCTAAATCAAGCCACTCAGGACAGGGTCAAAGTGAAGGCAGAGAAAGGTTATCAGCTTTCAAGATTGGATTGATTCCCTCATCCACCCCAGCCTCCAAGCAACTGAAATGAGTTCTGCCTTTTAGTYGATGAGAAATCAGCAAGTGACCTGTTGTTAAGCTCTGGGTATGGTCTGTTTGCTTGACCTTTTTCTTTCAGGAACTTGGCATACGCATGAGTGCTTTGACACTTTGCCTCTGGCCAGCCCCCGCAAGTCTCCTATCTTGGCAGGAACCAGAGGTCATGCTGAACCCTGCTCACCATCCCTGAGCACCCAGGTGCACCAGTCCCATTCACTCTTTTGGATCCCTTGTATCCCACTCCCACATGGAGAGAGTTTTCAGAGTTGTCATTTTGTGTTTTCCTACTACAGCATCAACCAGCGACTCCTTTAGCTGGTGCTCTGAGAATCCTTCCTCAACATTCCTCCTGGTGCCTCTTTCTAGCTCACACCATCCTTTGCAGAAAAAAAAACAGAAACTGTGATAGCTTTTATCACCCCGTGTTGTTGAAGGTCATGTTGAACCATGGGATTCCAGCTSGTGGTTTACCTTGGAGTCCTGTGACACTCAGAGCTCCTTGCAGGCAGGGAGGTTTAGCTGTGGCCTGTCTAGAGAGTGCTCCAGTGGGASTTTCCTTGGGGAATTACTGGTTTGGCAGTGGCTTGCCTATCCCAGCATGCCTGATCTSCAGCCTGGCCCTCTCCTGCCTCTCCTAGTCTGCATCCCACCCAGCCCTTCATGGTAAAGGTCAGTGGTGCTCCTGCCAGGCTCTCCTAGACCCAGGGGAAGCCACAGCTTTGGACCCTGTAGCAAGAGCCCCCACCCAGGCTTCCTCCAGCAAAACTGTGTKTAAGCACCGCCTTGGAAAGTCCACCTTTCTTCTAGCAGTGTATCCCACTTGTGGGGTTTTTCCCCTCCACAATTTTACTTTCTAAACCCATCTGTCAGTTACTGCTCTCTGTTTTAACAGGCTCCAGCTGACTGAATCTGAGGGCACAAAGTGATTGATGCATTTGCCTGGCACTAYACCATTCTGGAAAATAGTGATGGTGGTGATTCCAGAAGGATGTTTGACCAGGCATTACTGAAGCTAAAATTTGTCGATTCATAATTTTAACACTCCATGGAGCTWGTTGTTCAAAAGCATACACAGGAAATCTGAGCTGTTATTTTCTCTGTCTTTGATTAAGATGCCGGTGTGTGCTGCTGTGAAGTGAAACAGCATAGGCTGACAGATGAGCATTTTTCCCCAAGGGCATTCTCCTAGGAAGGCAACAGTGCTGATTTAGCAAGGAAGTAAATCTCGATATATATGAATGCTGCTGTGTACATGCTTTTATGGYACTCAGGGAAGAAATCAAAATAATAAAAAATACAGAAGCCTTCATGGTACAGTTCTTTAGCATTTGAACATTTATCGGCAGCTTGACATGAGCAACTACATGCTGGAGGATGGAGCTGTGCCTTTTTAACAGCTGTAGCTTGGAACATCTCATCACGCTGCCATTGGAGCCCCTCGCTGACAGAGCTCTCCATAAACAGAGACCKTGGTGCAGCAAGGGGAGGATGAAAGCCAGGGAGATACCAGTGGAAGTCTGGGACTTCACAGCCCTGTCTTATTTATGAATAACACTCAAACGTAATTACTTCAGTACAATCTATCTTGTCCAGTTCTCCTATGTGTTATCCTGTCCCCACAGGGCTGCTTTTGAATTCTGTTCCACCCTCAGGAGGTGCATGTCAGTAGAAAGGCTCTGGCTGTTGAATTGACCCATCAAGTTCTGTTGTCTTTGAAGGGGAGTTTTTCCCATTTAGGCACTTGTGGCAGAAATTTGAGACTACAGCCCTTTAAAGTGACATTGCACACACCCAATAGGATTACAGCAGCTGCACTGCAATTCTGAAGATAAATTAAAACAAAATTTTCTGTGAGTTTTGTTGCCAAGCTGTCCCAGCTTTGGGCAGCAGATATCAGTACAGGAGCTACTTAGGTGTGAGAGGTGCCAAATGAAGCTTTGTGATCAATCCTCCTGCTCCTGAGTAAGAAGTGTAAAGGATGCAAACTCCAGTTGTTCCCACAAATTTTGCTGTTGTTTGCCAGTTCGGGATTTTGGTTTTTTTTCCCCCCTGCCATCCATTACAACATTCTTAGCGGAGTTACATGCATTACATTTCTTAGCAGAAAGAACAGCACTTCAGCAAACAAGACCTGACTTTTTCTGCATGCCTAAAATGCCACATGAAGTTCAAGATTTCCTATCCTTTTTTTACACTCTTCACAGCACTCAGCAGCTCATGTGGACCAGACATAGTTACTTATCGTAATAAAGTGTACTCGACCTACAAACATTGAGCAACACAAGTCACAGCAGTGTTGGAKGGTTAAGCAAAACTTCCCTTACAGAGCGTGATCAGTTACATTTCAAACAATACTTCTGATGAAAGAAGGCTGTGAACAAATCAAAGCTATTCTTGCAGTTTTACGTCCTATTCTTACATACAAATCCAGTGAGGCTTTTGTGGTAGTTTACAAACCTCAGAAGAGATGAGTTGCTACTCAAGTCTCACAACAGGTAACAGCATTTCATTAAAAAAAAAATCCACAAAAACACACTGATTGGGACCCCTCCTAACAGCCAAAGTCCGTCAGCCTTCCCTGTGCTGCACGCTCTCCTTTGCCAATACAGAACCAGGTTCCCAGCAGCTTTAGTCACAGCCTGCACCAGCCACGCTCCTGCCTGGACTCAGAGCTCACAGCTTGTGCCTGGTGCCCTGCACASCTCTTCAACTGTCAATAGAGTATGTTTACAGAAGGCACAGGCTTTGCCCAAATTTCACAATGCAGAATATAACCTGCCTCAAACCCTACCTTGATTAGAGTTCTAACTACTGGAATTATTTTTATTAGTGAGGTCTAATTACACAGTCAATTTAATTACAAGGACCTAGAGTTCATGCTTGCCTATTTTAGCAGCTTGATCATGTAGCATGTTAATACAGGAATCTGATTAAAAGCATCTATTTATATTAATTTACTATCCATTTCAGCCAGCTAACGTAAGAGAATGGATTAGATGTTATTAACAGAATTGGGTTGTAATCTTGTGATGCAAGGAAKGTTTGCTCAAGCACTAATGTACACTGGTCCAGGAGCTGGACAGTCTTCTCTGACCATACTTGTGCACCACTCCTTCCTTGTCATGGCAGWGCATAGCCCTAGAAGTGTTCAAGCACCATCTCTTCAATAATGTGAAAGGAGAATTGTAAGTTAGCAAGTCTGAATAGCTCCAATCAAAAAAAGACACCTCTGTAATTAAGAACTTGCTAGACAGGRCTGCTGAAAATCCAACCCTCTAGTCTCAATCTGAATTCTTTTCTTTCTCTCATTTGCCTGGAATATACTCCATAGATTTAGGGCAATTTACCATAGAAAATGTTCTTGACCAAGTCAGTTCTGAAGGCTAGGTTTGAATATGTCAGCTGTTTTAAAGTTCAATGCCTGAAMAAATGTCAGTTTTCTTCCCTCCTTTACACACACTTGAGAAAACTTCATTACCTCAAATATGACAAAATATTCAAGACTGTAAACATGAAAATACTTCAGTGTGTTTTCAATTCAGTAATGCCTCAGATGAATTTCAGAACAAAATTAGTCTTAGCAATAACACAAAGATTTTTAAAGTCCTTTATTAATCTGAATATAAAAAAGACAGAAGCTGCCTACAATATAGGACAAAGCTCTTGCTTCATGAGGAAAAAAAATTCTCTTTACAAAGTGAAAAAATAAATACCCTCTTAGAGTAAGGTTTATATGCTAATGTGTCATAAAAAAGTAGAGTTTTAATATTTTGACAAAATGTCTGTGCAAAGAAACAGATGCATAAACACACATTACTACTACATTAAGGCAATATGAAAAGTATAGTCAGAAAATTTCAGTAAAGTGACAGTGTACTTTTCTAGCTTTGATTAAGCCAGTATTGCACCCAAACATGGTCTCCAGTTCCTTCTGTACCCTGGACAAGACAWTAGGAAACCAGAGCCCAAAATGCCCAAGTAGGGGGGTGGAAATTAAAAACATTTTATTGGATAGGCCATTTCCTGCTAAAGATGCTAACTGAAGAAAGCATTTAAAACTATACACAACCCTTAAAGATTAATTGTTCATGTTTAATGGTTTAAAATCTCCAAAAATAAAGCCAACTTGAAGGGCAGCTGACTGCAGCTCCCAAGACCACCAGTCAAAAACTGACTGTGGGAAGGTTGGGACTGCACTACTCAGAGAGAGCTGTGAATGAACTCACATAGCAGTGCTTCCACAGGACACTGTCAACCACAAGACTTTCTGGACCCACCCTCAACACTTGAAGATTAACAATCTTGTCCTCCTTTTCCAAAGCTATTGTCTCAGAATCGTTTTCTATTTGATAGAATTCTGAGTTAAGCACAGCTGCTTGGTGAAGCCTTGTAACTTCAGTTTAAGAACTAATTTTTAGAAAAGAGATCTCTTTAAAGCAGTTTACTAAAAGCAGCAGCTATGAGCCTTACTAAACTGGTATGTGTAAAATCTAGTCTTACTACTAAAATAAATGGTGCAACCGTACTAAAAAGGATTTAGAGCACATAAAAGAGGCTGCATTGCTTTYGCTGGGTACATCTGCATGTGTACCCGACACTTCTCCAGGGTCACCGAGCTTTGTGGCAATACTGCCTTGCTACAAACTTACAGATCATCCTTTAATTAACAGAATCAGTTACATTTGTACTCTCAGATGATACCCCAAACTATGTTGGAAATGCTGAACAAAAAATATTTGTTAGAAAAATCCATTATTTTTTGCTTTTGATCATGGATAGGTGCCAAGAGTGATTGCCTTCTTCACAATCAATGGTTGCATTTCTTATTAGTGCAGTTTAAAGAGTACATGATGGGTTAAAAGTGTGCATGTAGATCATATCACAGTCAGATTGAGAAGACTGGTGTGGGTTGGCAAGTACACATGTTGGACGTGCTCTACACGAGATCTGCAGACAGGACACGACTGGAAAGGAAAAACATGGGGAAATTAGTTTATTTTATATTTTGAAAGTCTCTGCACTTCCTGCAGACTTCACATATGCAATAACAGAGYACTTTTTCCATCATCCTATATTTAAGACAGGCTGTGATGAGAAGCATGCAGCTCATTCTTAGCCTCATCACAAATTGCATTAGCACATCATTCAGACAGAATCCTCTTTTGAAATTAGTTTATCACAAACAAAATTTTACAAGTTTTACTAAACCATCAACATGGACATATTAATCCATGTCCATTAAATATATGAAAACCCAAACCTTCAACACAACTTGGTAACTCATAACTTAATGGCATTGCATTTACCTGTAACTGGGAAGCACAGGACTTGCAGCAAACTGTGTGGCCACAGGGACAAAAGGTTGAATTTATCTCTTCTTCACAACACACCATACAAAGCATGGACTCCTTTAGCTTCTGCAACTTCTCTTGCAGGGCTTTTGTTTGYTGGCAGCTGAGACCCTCACAGTTGTCACAGTTCATGCTGCTTTCCGAAGACTTAAGGGGTGAACTTGGTGGGGTTTGATCACTTCTTGAAACAAGATCCACAATGCCAGCATTATAAAGAGCTCGCCTTGCATGATCATAAACTTCTTTTGATGTTCTTTTAATGTCAAAGACGTATTTTTTACCAAGATTGATGTTTTCATTCAGAAATAGAGATGCTAGGTGACCCTTTAAGTCTCGACTATACTGCATCATGACAGCACTGGTGACAGTGTCACACCTGTAATGCAATACGACAAAAGCAAGCTTTGTTACTTAATACCAATAAACCCATCCCTAGAGTAATTTGTTCCTAAAGTTGAAATAACAGCACTAAAATTACAGTAAATAAAACAGTCTGAGGTAATATTTAAGCTCTTGAATGATCTTTGCATGACAACTCTATTTTGAAAAGCGTGAAATGGAAAAGCGACAGTTACTTTGCATCTTCAAAATGTGAAGTGTCTGGCAAAATGGAGCCAGCCTACAGAAGGGACTTAAGGAATWATGCTAACAAACAGCAAACACTTGCTTAATCCGCAGTTCAGAGGCAACATTTYTTTGCCTGGCATTTCCAAACACTGCCTTAAAGAATTCCAATTAAGAGTCTGGCTCTCAATTTTTATCAYGGAGTCAAGTAATACTTTTAACCCAATTTCCACCCAGTAGTTTATATAYCAGTATTACATCATTCTGAAGTGAACCAGTGTGAATGCAGTGTAGAGAATTAAGGCATTTGTATTTGCCACTGAGTATTTCAGCTACCCTAACCATGCTTGTCACTTATTTCAGTGATCTGGTTGAACCTCCAGAAGCCTATTAAGGCATATCACTTCTCTAGGCAGCACAGGACAGAAAACACACAGAACATAAGGACTACAGCCTCACTGGGCCTGAGGTCCAAGATCTAAGCTTACTGGCCAAATGTTATTACCAAACTAAAATTCTGCTTGAATTAAAAYCAGAAACTGCAAAGGACAGCAGAAGCTACAGAGACACAGATCAGAAAGTAATTGAAACTGGCATGTGGTAATTTTAAGATAATGCTGCAAAGTGTGTTTGACAGCTAGTTCTACTGATCAATATTGGACATCACAGTAGGAATGAAAGGGGGTTGAAAAACTGCCCACCAATAACTGAGTATAGCACCCCTACCTCAAAGAACAACAGGATAGAGACAATGGATAGCTGCTGGGATGAAGCAAAATCCTGAGTGTGTAAAAAGTTTTAAGTATTTGAGATGGGAAGGTGGCATACAGGTAACAACTGAAGCTGCCAAATAAAGGATCTACATATCCTGAATGACAGGATCTTCCCCATTGGTCTCACTCTCCCTCTTACACAGGAACAAAAAATATATGTATTGTTTATTAAGTATAAAGGAACATAAAATGTTTATATTCTGAAATCCTGTTATTCATAGTGGAAAAATTTTGCTTACTTTTCTTGTTACTCCCACCCCACAAAATGGAAATCAGCAAAAACCTATTCAGTTTCTGGCCTTAAGAGGAAAGGAGAGGCTGCAAAGACAATGAAATTTTGCAGAGTATTTTCAAAGTGCAGTCAGACTACTGGCTGCTTAAGCACTTAGTTCAAACACTGGAGAAGAGCAGCAGCACACAGCTGTAGTGGCCATACTGACCTGTAAAATGCATGTGTCTCAGTAATTGCTCTGTAAAGTCCACTTGCTGCCCTCGTACTGATCATCTTAAACAAGCGAACCACACTATTACCAGACTCCTTGGTAACAGTCAGATATACATTCTTCCCAGACTGAGTTGCCATTTGAACAACAGGATAAGCAATCCTATAAATTAATATTAAAAAAGAAAGGTTATTTAGTTTGTAAGATAAGGGCTTTTTCCACAAACTACTAYTGTGCATTTTTATCAGAAGTTACAATGATGTCTGACCATTGTCAGCAATGCTGATCAAAGATGCTGCCTCAAAAATATGTATAAAAATCAAGAGGCCACTTGTTATCTTGATTACAAGCAGGTAGTTTCTGCAGAACCTACATCCCACTAGTCACATTTAGTAATTATCAGAGCAGTTTTGCATATTTAGGTGAAAACTAAAGGCATGCTTGGTACTGCTGAAAATTGAACATGCYAATGGTTCCAGAAAACACATACCTGTTGACTGGACTGAAGTCATCTTTACAGATGGATATGCCTTCAGGTCCAACACCAATAAGGAGTTTTTGCCCTTCACTATCTCTCACTGCGTGCCACTCTACCCCATAGTTCTCCAGTGTTGTAACAATCTGTAGAATCTGGTATTCAGCAGATGCTTGACTTAGACCTTCTAGCTCCTTGTGCTTCGCAATAATGCTGTTGATACAAAGATTAAGGATAGGTGAATCTACTGAAGTATCTGCTGTTACTGTCAGCAGCTTGTTTTAACATGGGTTTTTAGATGACCTAGTTAAACAGATTATTAAATGCTCCTGCTTTGTCTGTCTATGGATTTTCAGAAGCTGTGAACTTGAAACAGTTGAGAATTACCAAAACATCTTGAGAATGTCAAGGAGAAAATACTGTGCATTTGCTTAGAAATGAAAAAGCTACACRTAATTAAGGTTTTCCAACTAATACCACCAGCCCCAACTTATTTCCCAGATCTACCAYGAAGGTCCTAGTTAAAAAAAATACAGAAAACTGACACACAATGTTTCCTGATATTCAGGGATTGAGTTATGAAGGCATTTGGAAATTCAGTTTACTTTTCAGAGTAAGGGCACTAAGCCAGATAAATTCTTTCATTCACAAGTGTAGSTCTAAGACACGCTCACAATTTAAATACCCTGCTCCAGGTACTGAAATACCTTTATTTTCCCAAGTACCCGGGTTTTTACAAGAAAAAAAAAAAACCGCAAAACTAAAAACCACCCCATAACTGAGCTTAAAAATTAACTGAAAACAGTACATCAAACATTCAGGTTGCATTTTGATCTCCAAAGCTATTACTGTTAAGTTACAGTTTTACACTTTAGTACAAGTAATTAAATGCCTAATAAAACCTTCTGCTGTTGGTCCCCAAAAAGGAGACTAGATCATTGTGCTCTTTTTACCTCTCCAGAATGGTAGTGGTGAGCTCTTTTGTACACAGCTCTTCATAATTGTACTTGGCAGTGTTCTGATTATAATCTCCAAAGTTCATCTGTGCCAACAATGCACTGAGTTCAATTGCATGCTCTGAAGAACACTGTAGATTACCAGCAAGAAGATCTTCTTTTATATGCAAGAAAAACATATGCCTGTAAYGCAACCAGAAACATTTGCTTACACAAATTGTTACATGACATCTGTAAACAAGACATATAACAAGTAATCTCTCAGCTATGTAAGGTAATCAAGAATTTGCAATGAATGTACCAAGTAAATCAAGTCTGGTACAAGGTAAAGAAAAGGGCTTCCATCTTATTCTTCACTTACTCTTAAACATGAGGCTACAACTGAAGATGGCATCTAAAAGCACTACAAAAAGAAATGAGCACTTTAAAATCATCAAGAATATCTAAAATATCAATGAAATATTTCAATTAGTTTCCTATGTTTACATTTTTTGTTGCTATTTACACATTATTCTGCATTTCATAAAAGCAAATTTGGGAAGAGCAGCTCAAAACAGCATACACACTTCTGTCATGCAAGAGGAGAAGCCATACTTTCTGTAAACAGCCTTGGTGCTTTTGCCAGTGACATGATTAACAGAATAACGAAACACCTGAAAAGGCATTGTGGAATAAAACAGAAAAACAGCTTCTATGTTTTGTCAGACCTTTCCACTTCAGATCAAGGCAGGTTTGACAGCTTGCTGCACATTCACAAAGCTGTTATTAATTATCTTTCTTATAGGTCACTTGACAGACAAATCAACATTTTCACCAATGTTAACAGCAGCATGTTGATAACCCTACAGGCTACCTTAACTTCTATAAAATCATCCTTATCTTTCCTCAGGGGATACAACATAAATTTTTAACCATTTTTTTAAGACTTAAAGTATTTATGGAAACCAGATGCAAAATTATGTATCACTGAAAAAAATCTTTCAATAAATGAAGCCTAGCACCCATAGGGATGTGTGTCTTGGCTTACACAGGAATGGGACATTTACTTTTCTAAAATTAAGAGTAAGGTACTTTTAAGAAAAGCTTTACTGAATTGCTCAYCAATGTAGTTGAAGATGATGGTAAGTGATGAGCTTTCCTTCCAATGAGAATTTGGATAATATCTTACATATATTCTGTTGTAGCATTCTGTATTCCCAGTGTACAACAAGGCAAATAGAACTTTTTTCAGCCCTATGAGCAATTACAAAACTTGCAAAAGTTGCGTTCTTTCTTAGCTCTACTTAGTTGCAACTAAGAAGATACCAGCTCAAAAGATGCCTCACATATACAACTTCTTGAATCAGGAAAAAAAGAATTGGTATTAAATTATCCTGTAACCTTTCCTACAATCCATTACTGCAACAAGCCACRGCTCCAACACTTCCCTTTGCAAACCATTTGAGTCATGCTAGAGCATCATGCCAGCTGTGATGCAAGTGCTTAAGCGCATCACTCTGAGGTCTAAATATCAACCTACACCCTTTCATCAGTTCTAGGGGGGGGTCTGGTGGAAGCCAATGTCCTCACACTGTGCAGGACACCAGAGCAGGTGGCAAGAGGACCAGAACTTCAGAGTTCTTTCTACTGTTAGCAGGGTATTCTTTCTTTAGGCTCTTGCTTTGAAAGAAACTCAAACCTCTGCTCCCATCCCCTTCTTCTACCTTGCAGAGTCATAGCTCTTTAAAATGGTTGGTTGCACAGACTCTTTTTGGTGCTCAGTCAATAAATCCAAAGTATTTGACAAATTATTAAAACAGTAGGGTCAGAATAAATTCAAATATTAGGCATTTCTCTAACTCCAATCAACATTTCTTAAAATAAAGTTTCTCATACACTCTTGATCCTCTGAGATACCGTAACAGAACTTCTAGCCATTTTAACTAAGTGCTAATTACAAATATGGTATTTCAAAGAAAGATCAAACAATTTTATTTTCATTAGCTGAAACACAGTTGCAACTACCACACTTAAATTCTTGTATCTTCAGGGGTTTTTGCATATGATAGCATGGACTACACAGGGTAAAGTCAAGAGTTTTCCCCTTGCTGTGAAGACCTTATTAACACMCAAGGGGAGCTGAAAACCAAAATATTGCTTCTGCAAATACAGATGAATTACAGAAACAGATACAGCAGTTGCATGGCTTGTCACTTTCCATTACTACAGAGCCTGTAATGGCAGAGGAAGACAAATGAGTTTAAGGCACAATGTGAAATAGCACCACATCAGCTAATGTGCAGTAACTTCCCAAAACTGGCTCATACAACATAAGGGAAAAAATCTCACAGATACTCAGCTACTTTGTATTTTCCTGATAAAAAAAAACAAACAGCACACATAAAGGACAGTTATTTCAACGTAACTAGTTATGTAAATTCTTGTCCCAGCTTAAACTATGATAAACTATTTTATTGTGTCAGAGAAAACAGACAAAACTCACCTGTATTTAACAGCCCATCTGCACCTAAACTGCATAAAAAATAACGTGAACTGCATCCATAACAGGACAGTCAATGACTTCACACTCATCTGTTACAACAGCTGTCCTGAACCAAAGTTCAGGTGGCAAATTCTCTGCTGTTCTCTTTTTTTTTTTTTTAATTTTGAATCCTTAAGTGTGTTTGATGAAGGAAAGGCATCTAGAAAGACAGTGACGGTTGTAAACATTTTATACATCTGAAAAACTGGTTTTGATTAGCCCATCCAGTTGCCCTCAGAGTGCACTCCTCCTGAGTTTTACTAATATCCATTGTAAAATCATCCCCTCAAAGGTCCAAAACATGACACTAGCCAGAATTAGATTACAAAATATTTTCTTCTTTTTTTTTTTTTTTTTTTTTTTTACACAAAACCAGAAGTCTTTTTATCCTTAAAGAAAAAGGCATAAAAATGTGATTTTATTGCTGAACACAATCAAGCAAAACTAAAGCATTAGGAGCCTTGAGGCAGTTCCTTATCTAATTCTGGAATTCCAAAGSATCCAATAGATTGTCTGTAGAAAACCTGGTCATATCACAGATTCTATTAGTTACAAGAAAGGATTTATGTATGTTTTTGTAAATTAGATTAGCACCTAATTGCTTCATGACAATTCATCTCCCTCCTCTCTTGGAATCTTTAGGTATGATAAAAAAAWTTAAAGCWTTTCTCACCGCTAAAGATAGTGAGGTTGCACATAACAGGATGCAYATTTCTTCAAGGAATTATTTCAGCACTAGTATTTTACACTTWATGGAATTTTTACCTAGCAAGTTTTAGAACAATGGACTGTTAAAACTGAAAACTGAACTGTTTAAGTTCCCTAAAGGTTGCATTTCCAACATTGCTGACAGAATGTCTTAAGCTTGTCTACCACAYAAGAAACTAAATGTTTTTGTTTCTGCATCATTCCCACTTCAGTTGCACATGATACACTAATMTTACCTGTTATAAATTTGACAAGTAACTCAAGTCAGACAAAAGGTATGTTTTGCACTTTTGTGCACTTTTGCACTTTGTTTTAAGCACATTCTGCAGCTTTTTACTACTCTTGCCAAAGTTTCATTTAACCTTTAAATCTTCACAGAAAACAATTCTTCACAASTCTGAACTTTGCCCATCAGTTGTTGTGGCTCCTAGTCATCTCAACACGTGCCAGACATGTTGGGACACTGAACAACTAGTGGCAACTTAAATGACAAACAGAACTTTTCATTGCAGTCATAGCCTGAGTTCTCTACAGGTGACAGCATTAGCACAAAAGACAGTCTCTAGAACCCAAAATAGCTTTTCCTTCCCCTCTGAACTTCATGCTACCTATAGATACTAGTGTATTCAATTATAGAACATTTCTTCTGAGTTTAGTAGTTCAAAACACTACATAGGAATCTGACTAGAGGGCAACATACTACATTTGCCAAAGCTACACTTTGGCAGTCACTGCCCAGAYAGATTTCTTCCTTTCTAAAAGAACAGAAGGCAGTTTTACAATTAGAATAGGATCACAGGCTTTCTTCAAGCACTAGCTACACCGGTGATTTCATATTCAGTTTGCATCCTTATTTTTGGAGCCATGTTTTTAATATAATTTAAGTTTCATGTGCACAGAAAATAGTAAAATCAAGTGCAGAGTGACTAATGTATTGCAGGTTGTAAATTATTTGATACAAAAACTGTAGAAAGGAGAGGTTGCAAGGAGATTTCAGCAGACGGTCTATTTCACAAAAATGTATAGCTACCAAACCAAACTCACAGACCTAGATATCAATCACATCAATTGATTTTTGTCTTCCTCTGGAGCAATTTATGCAGGCCGACAATACTGCACACTGCTGCCAGAAACAGACATCAGTATTTCACTACAATGGATTTCAAAGAGGGGGCAAATCATCTAGTTAGGTGTTCATCCAAACGAACTGGCAATAACAGCTCCACAACAACAAAAAAAAAAAAAAAGACAGTATGGAAAGTATTGAGTACATGTAATACAAGGTTTATTTTTCTTTCGTAACTCATTGAGGACAATTATGTGCATTTGGAATCAAGGTTCTGCACTACCACTAGCAGTTTCTTTTCTTTTTTTTTTTTTTTTAAATCAAGACAAGGGAAACAGCAAACAAGTAGCTAAAAATGTTAAGCTCTAATCTTGGCTGTCACTGGAAGAAGTGACAAGTTCCAATCCTTTACCAAAAAAGTATTTGCATATGATTAATGATTCCTAAACTAGAAGTGTAGCCAAAAGACCTCATTCTCTTGCCAGACTACTGGTAAGAATCTCAGCATATYTCCCAAGGAACTGCCTGTTTTCATTGGGGTATGATTCCTTACCACAGGTTAAGGCTCTTTCCTACTCTGAAGCAAATTTACCGCTCTGTAGTCTAAAGTACTCAAAATTAGGAGGCATAATTTTTCTCCCAAAAATATATGTAAAGATCTCTAAATCTAGAATATAATTCTGTTCTTAAAAGCAGAAATAAGGCCATCCCACATGAAAAAAGCAGGTTTTTTTGCATGCTCTTCAGTATCTTTGTTCTTACTTGTTCTCAGCAGAGTAGGTAAAAGGTTACCAGCTGCAAATCAGATAAACAGATTCATTAAACTCACCCCAGTGTCTATCACACACACTTTCACTGCCTTGTAATAAATAGCACATCACTGCTACGCTGGCTACTCAATACTACAGGATAATAGCATGGTTTTCCCATTTTCTAATGGATTTTACAAGGCTGTTCTTAATTTCAACTAAGTTATCAATACAACTGGATAACAATGCAAAAGAGTGTACTTTGTAAATATCATTCAAATACTGGTAAACATCACACAACTTTTACCAGCCTCTGAAATAATACTTGTMACTTTCAAGGCTGGCAAAACACAGGCTTTTTGAATATTTCATGACACTGTGTGGCTTGTTAGAATTTCACATTTTAAATCGCTCACAGACGAATACTTAATTTTCAGTCATACTACACAAGACAAGTAAGGTTGAATTTAACCCATGTTAAAATTAACATGGTTGAAATTAACCCTAATGCCCACCGTTCTCCCGGACTGCGCTACTGGCCTCTTGCCAGCTCCGCACTCTCCCTGCTAAAAGGAGAACAGGAGTTTCAAGCCTCCACGTTCCACAAAAGCYCTCTGTCCCGGGCAGCGGCGCGACAGCCCAAACCGGAGCTTGTTCCCGGGCCGTGCCCAAGCGACGCCGGGCCGGGGCTACTCCCGGTCAACRCCCCGGTGCCACGCTCCGACACCCGCAGCCGGTGCGGCGGGACCCGCCCAGACCGCAGCGCTGCCGGACACCTCATCCCGGACCCACCCCTARTCAAAAGTCTCCTGAAAATTCCGATTAGCGAAGTATAACCCCCTCCCTAAGCCCCAGCTCCTCACTGCAATTCAGCACTTCACAACATTTGATACATGAACCACCCACAAGTCATTCAGTGAAGAAGTGAAAAGCAGGGTAGGTTTTTTTCCCCCAACTGTTGCACGACCTATCAAAGAGGTACAGAAAACAGTGAAAACGAACACGACACAAGCCAGAATTATGATCTCGATCTTGGCCATCACATGTGTCTTTAAGCAAAGAGATAGCAATCTTTTTCAAATCAATATGATTTTCCATGCTAAAGAAAATAGGTAACTACTTAAACTTCTCTAAAGCAACACACTGTTTCCATCTCAGACTTGTTTGTAAAACTCTGACAGCATCCTATTACATTTGAATGACATTCTTGCACTGAAGCACTTTTATTCCATTGAAAACAATTCTAAACTATGAAATAATGTGGTACAATTCACTACCAGGTAGTCAAATAAAAACCCTGGAAGTCGAGATCTAAAGAATAGAAATAAACTGCTTTGAACCCTGACAAAAGAAGTGCAGTAGAATGGGGTTTTTCCATGCAATTCTCAGACTCCCAAAGCAGTTAGTGAAAGTGGTTTATTGCCACAGTGGTCAGAGGTACAATTATAACCGGCTCTGTCTTTGTACTGTGCAGCAAGAAGGCTGCCTTGCACAGGAGTATTAAAATTGGCTGCAATCTTCCACTGGGCTTATTAATGGTAACAGAAGCAGAGGTCAATGTTCTGTTGCCAGATGAGCTTTCTTAGCATGTAGAAACCCAAACATTAAATGGCTACAAACAAACATACACCTGAGTTTTAAACTGAAGTGCAAGGCAAGGGTCTCTAATGAAGCAGAGCAACTAGGGTWGGCAAAGTTTCCCGAGTAGATAGAAAAAAAACTGGCAATTCAGTTACAAAACTTGCTATTATAATCACGATGAAGCATATCAACAAAATTTAAAATTACTTGCAGCTTCTCAGATTTCAAAAGCAATCTCAACATGCATCTAATATCTATGTAAAAACAGGATCAGAGGCAGCAAGCAAAAGATTGCAAAACTTCCCCAGCATTCTTCACACACAGAATAAGGCAACTGCTCTGCCAGAAAYACCCCACACATCAGATATGGACATTAACTGCTTATAGGAAACTAAGGGTACCCATCACTTTCTTCATCAAGACTTTGCAGATAAAGATACAATAATGTGTCAACTTCAATTGTACTGCTAATCCTTGCAATTCTATTATATACCTATTGATTTTTAGGTTTGGCAACAGGTTTACAAGATTTTCACCTTCTCCTTGATGCTTACACACAAATCAAGTATGAACTCACAATTACATGCGTATGTAAATCCTCAAGCAGACCTGAGTAGAAAAAAAAGTCAATCTACTAAAACTCAGTGTCAACAATCCAGGAAAACAGACATTAACCACAGGCACTGGAATTCTAGGTCTGCCACATGTGGACTACTGGGCATGCAGAACTAAAAAACCCTTATTACAACTGGACATGCACCATGTATTTGGTTTTAATATATCTCTTCTGATGCCTAAGCTTGGATTAATTTTTAAACTGATTGTTAAAAAAATTAGTTTCAGAACAATGTTTATTAATACATAAAGCTTGTCCCAGCTACATCCTTTTAAATTACCTTTACAGTGGAGAAATATTTRCTGCATTGAAGTAGGTGTATAAGCTCTATTACATTTTAGCTACACAAGCCGGTCTTTTAGGCCCTTAGGGAATGTTTCACCAGTTCAGCCTCTCTATTAACTTCCACCTCCTGCCAAGTCTTGCATTGACAGTGTTAAAGGCAGGAACACAGACGTCTGCAAAATGCTTGTGAAGTTGAACAAGAATTCATCAATGATAGCATAAAACTACCGCTTTTAGGTTTCCTCCAATTTTCACCCTGATTTGTTCTGTGAGTGGAGATGCATTTGACATGCTCAGAGTAATCTCTTCTGCCTCATCAGGTATGAAACTGTGTGGGTCCTTTTGTTCTACATAAATCCCCTTTGTTATTTGATTTTACACTTCTTGAGAATATTTAAATAAGAGGATAAGTTTATTTACAGAAAGATATACCATGGATAGTAGGATTTATTTCYGAAATATGTATCAAAATGGACCTCAGTTTGAATGCGTTTGCCTAAGTGAAGCTATTGTCCGGGACAACCATGGTCTACCACCCCACCATTCTGAAAACTTCAACCGTATTGATGAGCCCCCCAAAAGTCTCTCCCCTACACATTAAAAAAAAAATAAAACAATACCTGCATGCATCCTAACTCAAAACCTTTTTCTTATGAAATAAACACCAAATTAGAGTGTCAGTCTCTGACCAAGTTCTTTTAGACATTCTGTGCAGAACCACCATGTCATATTCAYGGTCTTAATTCTGAAAGTATTCTGTTAAGAAGTCAAGGATTCTGAGAGTACCAAGTTCAGGTAAGTAGTGAAAATGGGTTTTGGTATTATCATATAGAAACATTAGATTTCAATTGGCCCATCCATATTAATTGCACTATCCAAAACAGGAAAAAGTATTTGACAGGTCAGCATTAAATACATATGTGCCCAGCACTCTTTAAAGACAATTCAGCTGCAATTCATATGGTAATCAAACTCAAGGAGTAAAAAAAGTGTTCCCTACTAATCTTAGAAGACTACTTCTTCTGATTTAATAGCTGTATAACAATTTGGATAAGAGGACTGGCCACAGAAGCAGTGAAACAGCTGTTTCATTTGTAGCTTCTAAGGGCCTGTAGCTATATGAAACTTACTGTAACATAATACCAGACAAAAAGGAATTCAGCAAGTTTTTTTGCACTGTGGGAGGAATTGTTTCCTGCCTTTCCCTACTAGTGGTTCAGAATGACCTAGAGTAACACCACAGACCAGAGGTTACTATCGGACACACAAATACCATATAAAAAGTTTGCTATTGGTAGCTTAGTTTCTTCTGGTTCCAGCACTATCTGCTCACGAAATCACTCACACTCATTACTTACTGGTAGCTACACAAAACTTAATGTTGCCAATTTAATTACTTTTTCCTAGAAAGAAGCAGTAACAAACTTCAACAATATTAGGATTTTAAAACTACATAGAAAAGTCAAGTAAAATTACCATGAGATAAAAGAAATAAAAACTGTGTGCAATYATTTTCATAAGTTACAGAAATTGAAAACGAAGTATTAAATTAAATGTACTTACAACCATATTCACTTACCTTGTCTGTTCCTGTAAGATAAGATGTGGCTCAACAAAAAACTTGACTCTCAATTTCAATCGATAAGGGGCTAAACCATCCATCTGCTGGGAGATCCTGTTCCTCAAATTCAGCCATAGATTCTCCCCTTTGCTGCCAGTGAACTGCAGTCCAAAATAATCAACTTCTATAATSCCCAACCTTCTGCAAACCTGAAAGAATGAGGTTCTTTACAATCCGGCTACAATATGACAATGAAAAGTAACATCTGAAGTGCTCTTTCAGAMAGCTTACTTAAAACACACACACAAAAAAAATCCTGCTGTCAGCACCTTCATACAAAGGCTTAATTACTTGGATTTTAGGTTGCATACAAAACATCACAGAGAAAAACACTAAGCATGAACTAGGAATTTCTCCACTAGCCAAAAGGCACATGGGCTTCCAAGGTCAAATTTCATCTCCAGGACAGGCACTTCGGAGGGTGAGCGGATTTCCCCAAGAGGAAAATACCTGMTGTTCAGCRTCACAATCAGTSGCACTTTCTGGGCAAGGAGAAGTAAGAAAGTACAGTCACCCACAATTTGTTTTAGGTGCCTCCAGCAGACCGGACTGCTACGTCCGTCTCTCCCCAGCATCCCCCGCAAACACACCCAAGCGGTGGTGACAGAAAGGCGAGAAGACACCTGGACAGCAGCTCCAGCCCGTTCGGGCCCAGAAGCAGATGGTAGGATGCAGCGGGTGCTACAACACACTACCTCTGGTCCCACTCGTGTCCCCTCCCCGGGGACATTTCCAGCGGGATTCAGAGGCGAGGCCTCTCCTGCGCTTCCCACGGTAGAGGGGCCAGAGAGCCCCGAGGCGAAGGATGCAGCACCCTCGGCATCCAATATGGAGAAGGGAGTGGAAAAAAAACCTCAAGAAAATAAAAACCCAAAACCATAAGGGAAGCGAGGAGACTGCGGCGCTCCCCGCCCCCACCGCCGCGGCCGCCCCCGCACGGCCCAGCCCCGCGTCACCGCCGCCCCTCGCCGGGCGTCCGGGCCCCGCCGCGGGGAGAGAGCGGCGGGCTGTCACGGAGAGCCGCGTGTTTGCCGGGCACCAGCGCTCGGCGCTGCCCCGCGGTTACCGCTACGCTCGTCACGGGCTCCGCCCCGAGCTCTAGCGCGGGCGGACGGCGGGGAGAAAACCCCTCACCTGGTTGAGGCAGTCCTCGCCGTTGGCTTTCGCCTCTACCTCCACCTCCATCACCACCGCGTCCGGCCTGGTCACATAGCACAGCATGGCTGGGGACASTCGGCGCCGCCGCTGCCGCCGCGGACACTCGGAGCTGCCGCTGTCGCCACGGGCTGAGCCCCGCAACACTGCACGCAGCCGCCCACAGCACGACGGCAACAACACCTACCCAACACCCCTCTCCGCCTGCGCCGCTCCCTCCTTATGTACCCTCCGCCGCCCCGCCCCTCCCGGGTCTGCACCTGCGGACCAATCACAAAGCGCCGCTCATGGCTGCTGGCCGCTGCAGCCGCCAATCAGCGTCAGCGTGGCCGGGCGGGCGCTTGTTGTGCTCGCTCTGTGGCGCCCCGCGCTGTGCCTTCGGGACCGGGCCCGCACGGCCGGGCTGATCCCGGGCCCGCACGGCCGGGCTGATCCCGGGCCCGCACGGCGGGGCTGATCCCGGGCCCGCACGGCCGGGCTGATCCCGGGCCCGCACGGCGGGGCTGATCCCGGGCCCGCACGGCGGGGCTGATCCCGGGCCCGCACGGCCGGGCTGATCCCGGAGCCGCACGGCCGGGCTGATCCCGGGCCCCTCCTCAACGCCAGCGCTTCACGGCGCCCTCACCCTCTCTCACAGCCCGGAGCTTCTCACCCTAAGCGGGATTGTGCCCGCTTCAGTCAAAGCAAGATGTGTTCTTGCAAGYACTTGGCAAGGACAGTCTGCGAAACTGGAGTGAGAGTGGGCGGCTGTGGGCTGTGTGACAACCAAGTATTGCCTTTGCAGAATCACAGGATCAGTCAGGTTGGAAAAGACCTTTGAGATCCAGTCCAAACTAGGATGAATCACCATCATGTCAACTAGACCATGGTACTGAGTGCCACGTCCAGCCTTTCCTYAAATACCTCCAGGGACAGTGACTCCACCACCTCCCTGGGCAGCCCATTCTAGTGTCCAATCACTCTTTCTGTGAAGAAATTCTTCCTAATTTCCAAACTCCCACTCCCATACTGTCTCTGGCCTCCTCAATCCTGCAGCCTGAAAAACCTGGAAAAGATGAAAATTTGAAGAAGGACTGATCAAACCTATCACAGCCTCCATGCACCACCACGCCAAGGGATGGTGATTTTACACTCATTGAACTCTGTAGATATAAATCTTGTAGGTGATTCCTGGTCAGGGGAAGAACACCTGCACCAGGTGAGCTCTTGGAAGTACTTGTTTGACAAACAGACCCAATGTGCATAAAGTAGTTTATGGCTGCTTTAACAATGCTTTTCAATTTAGAAACAACAGAGAGGACAAAGTACAAAATGCATGCTGTGTGGGTTGCCCGAGAGAAGTGCAGGTCAAAGAGGTACTGASCAGTGCAGTGGTGAGGAACAAGTAGACTGTCAGGGGAAGAGAAAATTGGGATCTGAAAAAGCAGTGAAAGATAAGAGGAAGAGCAAACCACAGCACTAATGCAAGGTGACCACACGGCTGAATATTAGCTTGTTCCCATGTGTATGGGTCACTTGCTTCTGTTTCGCAATTTCTGCTATGCTTGTCAGGATTGTTAACATTTTCAGGGGTTATTAAAGAAAAGCTCAGAACAGATGCTTATTCTGGTGGGAACTCTTACACACATGGTATGTGGAGTTCTATCCATTTTGTTTATATGAACTATAGAAGACCTCTCAGTTCTGAACCAGGCAGAATAGTAGGAGACAARTAAAAGTCAGGACATGAGATGTCAAACCTGAGTGGTGCTACATTTGACCTGCATACTTATTAGCTCAGATTTTCATGTCCAGGTCCTACAGTGTTTAATTTGAGGAATTTAGAGTCTTAAAGAACCATACTTATAGGGTGGAGGGTAGAAAAAGGGAACCAACATGAAAGAAAGATGAATGAAATAGCAAAATTAATTGCATCTCAACTCAGTGATTTTCTGGTGAAAACACTTCAAACTCTTTGGGAGACACTTAATTATGAGGAGATTAGCCACTAACAAAAAAAAAAAAATTCAGAATATTTTAGTATGGGAAAAAGTCTTTATTCCCCACTTCTTCCTCATTTTTTTTTGTTGGAGTGGATGCAGCAAATTAGATTTTAGTTCTATTTTAGTTTTACTTCTACATATTGTGACGTTATGGTATTTTGTGTGATTTGGATATTTCTGTCATAATCAAAAAAGTCCTAGATGTGTTATGAAGAAGAAACACCAAAACTGCCATGGTGACTCATTCCATTAGTATTCTGATATCCTCTCCCTGACAGTAGCTCATATCAGATGTTACAGAGGAAGGTGCAAGAAATGTTTATATAATTGTGAGATAATGCACTTGTATATTTTCTCTAACACTAAACGGTTAAAGCTAGCTTATACCTGATAGATTAGCCTTTACTCTTTTATCCATGTTATTTGTATAGTAAAAATCAGTTCACCTTATGCTAGGCCTCGTCTAGACAAAGAGAAACTTACCCTTTCTGTATGTATTAATATCTATCCTGTGTTTTCCTTTTATCTGACTTAATCTAAATGCAGGTGCTCTTATTATGTCTGTAGAAGTGTTATGCTTCTTTGAAATCTGCTAAACTGTAAGCCACAAAAATAGCTTGTGGCAGTAAATTGCATGGATTGGTTAAGTCCTGTGTAAAACAAGCTTTTCTCTTTGAGGACATCATCTGGACACCACTGTCACAGAAATACATTTCATTTTGCAGTCTCTCTGTGATATTTTATTCATGCTGTACAGGAGAGAGTTCCTGAGAAGGGAGTTGAGCCTGCTGCAACCCTTTGGACTCTGAGAGGAAAAGCTGAAACATCTTACATCTTCTGCCTGGTCTCTGATGAATTACCAACACTCAGTGAGCTACACTGTCAAACTGCTCATAGCATGGATGTTCACCTTTTGTGTTTCATAAAAGAGCAATATTTATCAATGTGTCATCTCAGTGCTGTATGTCACAAAATGATGTGTGCTGTATGACATAGATCTCTATGGTGGGTCAGCCTTTTGTACAGTGTCAGTTTGTGCATAAGTAATTCACCTTATATATATTAATATATTTACATTTCTTTGCCTAACACTGGTAGATCATTTTTCCTTGATGTAATCTATCTGCCAGGTGAATTCTTCATTATATACTGCTTCAGTTAGTTGCAGTGCTTCCTTGTCTGACACTTGAATGAAAATCCTGTGAAAAGTCCAATTGCAAAATTTCCAGACCTTCAAATTTGGTCCCCAACATGACAATATTGTCCATAGTTTCAAAAGAACACTCATGCTTCTCATTGTACAAATTTTTTATTCTCAAGGCTTCCCAGGTAGTTCCTCCAACCAATTGCCATGAAACTCCATCTTGTAAGGAACTCAGTGGTATAGCTGTGGTCACTTTACACAGATGTTTATGCAAGATCTTATCTAAGGTCCTGCGTCATTGCTTGTTGCCCATGGTATTGACTCTGATCAAATTCAGGATATTTTACTGCTGCAGAAAGCCAGGGTAAAAGATTCAAAATGCTCAGCTGCTGCCCGTGCTCAGGATGAGGCTTTATCAAGTATTTAGAAGTTCCCATCATTTGTCTTTGCTGTTCATTTGTGGCAGTCACATTAAAGSCATGAATGGAAGCACTGCATTACCTACTTCTTGGTGCCAAGGGTGCACTCTGCTGACTGTGAGAGAGACATTTTCCTCCAGAAAATGAGGAGCTTCTGTTGCCCTGCATAGAAAGGGCCTGCCCCTCTCYAGGAAAGCTAAGCACCAACAGACTTCTCACAGTTCTGGTGGTGTGTGGTGGCTTTTGGTCTAGCAAGAATGAATGGCTACATGAGAAAATACTTCTAATTGTAATCCCAGTTTATTCAATCAGAAGCAATATGAGGATGTAGACTGACTTTCTATTTCCTTACTCTTTTACTTTTTATATGCTCTTCTGTTCTGATTTATTGTTGTCTAATTTTGTTTGGCTTTAAGAGCTCTTAAGTAGGTTTAGATGCATGATTTGTTAGGCTACTGATGGATTGTTTGGTTAACACCACAACCACCACAGAAGAGTCATGAAAGATCCATCTTTGCAAACACAAAGGAGTGCAGTGACAATGGCAGATAGGAAAGAAAAGAGCTAAGAGGAAAGAAGACTCCCTTTGGTCTGGACCAGCAGACTCTCAGCCCTGGTGTCCAGGTATGACATCTATCATCATGTGTGATGGGGAGCAGCTCTCCAAGTTAGGAAGGGGACATGCTAGCTGGAGATGTGGAACACATAAGGTGGTGCAGGGCAAGAGTTTTGGGGATTGCACAGAATTTATCATGGGTATTCAGAGGAGGAACCAAAACCAGGACAAAGGAGAGGTTTAAGAGATTGGGTCAGTAACAAGYGTGGAACAAGGAAATGCAAGGGTTCACCTGTGTGAAGAGTTGTCTGGCCGTGCTGTGCCCTGTTCCTGACCAACACAGTCTRTCCTCTCTCCTCAATAGCTCCACCTACAACTGTTTCTCAGTAAGGGGCTCTTTAYTCCCTGTGTGTGGGGTAGAGGGCGTTGGCTGTGGTGCAGCAGCTGGGGTGAGTGTGGGTGTGATTGCTGGCAAAAAAAGTGCAGATGACTGAGTGAGTAAGTAATGTGGGTTGGGGGCTGGGATGGGTTTGRAGGTCTCTGAGGGCCACCTCTGGTTGAGGGGTGTCTGCTGGTCTCTCAGGACAARAGGGGTTATACAGACCCCAATAGCTATATAGTTATATACACCTAGCTAATAGCTAATAGTTATATATACCCCAATAGCTCTAGCTGTGTGTCTCTGTGTGTGKGATGAGGGTCTGTACCAGCAGTGGGAGGGGGGCTGTGGCTTTGGGATCTTGTATGTCCATGGGCCAGTAACCAGGATCCAGCAGCAGCTGCTGGACACACCAAGTCCTCTTGCTGGACAGCTCCACCTGGGAGGTATGTCTRTATATTGCCACTTACAGACCTCCATCCTCCCCAGCTAGAGCAGAGAGCAGGATGAGGCTGGTGGTGCTGTCAGTGTCGGTATGAGTGGTCTGTGTGTCTGTCTATGGTTTGTATGAGCAGCAGTGTGAATATTTGTATTTTGTGCTGTATATATGTGCTCTGTGTTCACATGTTCAACCTCATCACTGGTTGATCCTGGGGATGGGGAGTGGAAGCAGTCTTGCCTCTCTCAGGCTGCTGAAATAGGTATTTTCCACTAACA